TTGACGAAACATGATTTTATATAATAAACCTATAGTTGAGATAAGGTATGGATGATGATGATGATTAGGATTGGAAAACATAAATTCAACTAAAATTTATGTATATCATATATAGATATATAGAAGGAAATAAAGTTGGACTAACCCGAGCCAACCCAAACCAAACACCATCTGAATTGGGTTGGGGGTTCAACAGCTTAATTGGGTATAGGGTTCATCTCAACCCGACTTAATCCAGCCCCGGCCTGACTTGCACCCCCTAGTTGGAGGACCCACTTAATTGATTGGTCATGCAACACTTTAGTCCATATCAGACAGTGGCCCACTTAATTGATCGATATTTTAAGATCAATTTCTTTATAAATATTGGAGTTTAATTTGACTATTTTAGGCCAAAGTCAATTTGCCACATGAAAGATTTATTGATGATTAGTGCTGTTTGCATGATTTCTATTTTTCTAACACCACATGTGGAGGTATGACATAGCTAATTAATCCTCCCTTCGAATTGACCACGTAAATCCAATTAACATATTATTTGAAATTAAAGAAGACTACCTTAGTCAAATTAATTCCGCTGATAGAAAGAGAGAAATTCTCCCACTATATACTTGATCGAAAAATGAACAGCCTCTGAATTACAACTAAGTTTATAACTGGAACCTCTGGAGCACGTTGGTTTCTGATTTGCGAGTGCTGGAACCTCTGGAACATAGAAGAAGAGCCTTGCTCCATTGCTGACTGTGTTTGTCGCAGCAAGCAACTGGTTGTCCAAACAGTCCTCAGGTAACCACAAGGATACTGTTATGCTTAGAACTGATTGCCAAATCAACAAATCTTCTCTATATAGTATAGAGTCTCGGCATCTACCAAACTAGAGCAGATCACACTACCAGATTGTTGTTGATCTTCGTCGTGAAGTTCAATGGGATTGCCGTGTAACACAAGTCTCAGTGGAACCTTCCGTTAGGTCAACTGACAGACATTTGATTGGAGGACTTGTTTGGTAGGTGCACCAGTCAAGTTAATGGAGATTGGAGCGGTCTCGGGTCTCCGGTATATTGTTAGACGGATAACTGTCGTGGTCAAGGGTGTGTTTGGTCAGAGGTCAGGTTTTCCCACACGTTGACATCGATGCGCGTATGTCACGGGATTCCAATCCAATGGTTTCGGACATAGAAGTAGGTGAGCTCCATTTTAGATTCCTTCTTCTCCCACCGGCTTTTAACGGTTTTCGCTACTTTGGTGGTTGCGATTGGCAGTTCGCAATAATACAAATCACATGTGACGTTACGTTTCGTTACGTTTCGTTACGTTTCGTTTCGTTTACCCATATGAGTGGACCGTGGACGGATTCAAAGGATGCCGACGGATGACCCACGGGCAGCTGTCGTCGTCAACTCTGTTCACGTTGGTCCAATATAGCAGACTGCCGTGGCTAATTCTTACTGGCCCAGTATCATCCGGTTGCATAGAGATGTTGGGGAGTGGCCCACTGTACTCTACACTTTTGACTCCAAATTTTCTCGAATTCCATTCGTTAGTTATATCTATAACCTACTCTGATCATCATTGCCGCTGATGACTGAGTGCGCGCGCTGAACTGGTCGTTTCTAGCCACATCACCTGGTCGCTCAGGTAATGGATGAAAAGAGGACTAGAGAACAGATTGATCCACCCCATCTCTCTCACTCTCTGGGAGACTTTATGCCATTCTTCTATACCAAACAGACTCTTCTTCGTGTTGGGCTTGACAGGACAGCCCTAGGCAGGTATCGTGAATTTTGGGTTTACATTTCATCTATCTCTATTTTCCGATGACTTATCTCCGAGACTCCGACCGGATGTCAGTGAAAAAAATCCGGCCAAAGCCATTCGACAGACAGACACCGAGTGTGATGATTCATTACTGATCTAAAAAAGACAACATCATGGCAAGAGTGAGTAGTCTGCAGCAACTCCAGAGCTAGCTGTATACTCATCTGTTCTTTCTTTGGTTGGAATTGTCTGGTGGCGTGATGACGATGAAATGCAAGTAAGCGGTGACGCGACAAGAAAGTGAGAAACTATTGGCGGATTCCGATCAGTTGGAGTCCATGAAAAGAATAAAGAAGAGGAACAAACAATACGATCAGTGACAGCTCATAGCTCAACTTATCGGAAACGGATAGGGTTTAGAGGTCGAGTCAATCTGCGAAACAGTGAGGGAGCGCCTGGACGAATGTGGGGACAGTGGGCCCCCACCAACGCCAACTTTTCCGCGTTATCAGCGGCTTTTCAGGGGCTTTTGTTTGAGTAAGATGGCGAAACTACCCTTGCTTGTTTAACCGGAGAGCTAGAATTTTCACGTGTGACCCCACCTCTCAAGCTAGCCAAACACTAACAGTGATACGTAGTTACGTACACATCACATGAGACATGACGTTACATGGATTTTTACCCTTGTGGTGGGTACATATTACATGAGGTTGGGTTGGGCGGATTCGTGCCCCTTGTTTTCATTTTCAAGACTAGAAGTAGAAAGCTATATCCAACAGCCGGCCACAAAAGAAAACTGAAAGCTTATGTTTATCCACTGAATCTGACGTTAACCAGCTTTATGCATTCATTCATTTAATGATTCATCTGGACCGATTATGTCGGCCAAAACGAAAAGAGTAACAGACAAATTATGCGGCCGGCAGCCCTTGTCTTCTTGCTTAGGGGTTTACTGAAAGATTTCAATTTCAGAAATATCTAAAATCAGTATGGTTTGACGTCTAGGTTTTTTAAACACTCAGACTTCGGTTCAAGTGGATAGATTATAGATACCCCTGGCTTTGCTTGGCGTTGCCGGAATTCTGAAGAAGATGTATTGATGGTTAAGAGACCTCACTCCTCAGTCGAGTCAAATCTGGATATATACAACTTACACTGATCATGTGCATGAGCCATGAGCATAACAGCATGAGCGATTCTAGTGAATCTCCTCCACTCAATATTCTATGCTTGGCTTCTTCATCGGTCACGTGACAGCCTCTATCAGTTCAGTCCCCAATCACCTTACAGCATGAGCCGTCACGTGATCAACCATGCCTAGTTTTCTAGAAGCTTGCTCAGAGGCCACTAGCTAGGGCTGTCAATAGATCCGGTTTGGTTCTGGACAGCTTTCTACCAGTCCCCAATCGATTATTAATCGGGACGAAAGTCACAAAACCATAGACCCACAACCGTCCCTTTTTTCGTGGGGCTACACAACAGAGTAGCCCATCCACCAAATCCATAACCATCCAAACCCAGGTGAAGGTTATTTCATCCCAAGGTGATGTTTGGTACCATTATCAATTCCTCTGATGAAATTTCTCATAAATTATCGGTTTCTAAGATCACTAATTTTTCAGAAATCAGAGAAATTATTTACTTGGTATCATTGATGCCATGTCAGCGGATTTCTCAGAAATCAGCAATGGGTTTTTTGGGTAGTGATTACCGGCAGTGATTTTTATTTTATGGGAACCGTCTCGTTTGTTCACATCAAATGCCATGTCATCCAAAAAAAAAAAATCAGAATCAGCCTAAAACGAAGAGTCATTGAAAATGGTGATTTCCCTTTTTAGGCTCGATTTCAATAATCGTTTTCTGAGTGATTTGCCGATTTCTCAGAAATTGACCAACCAAACAGCAAATTCATCATCGATTTTGAATTGCTGATGTGGCTTTGACATGGTGCCTATTTCTTTGAAATTGGCAATGGTATCAACTATCACTGAAGTCACCGTTACAACCAGTAAGATAGTAATTAATTATTTATAGTTTTATACAAGCAAAACCATCTTATATATTATATATCAAATTTATCCTTAATACATAAATATATAATAAAAATTACAAAAAAAAAACAAAGAACCCTTTAATATTACAAGAGGGTACTCGTGGAATACACAGGTCTGGTAAAAGAATTTAAGACAAAAAGAGCTAGTGATGCAACTTGGATAGGCCTGAAACGGCTCAATTGAAGCTTTTGCATAAGTTGGGCTTGCGTTTTCAAACATTAAGCTGGCTTGGGCCAAAATACTCAGGCCTAACCTAAACTTGGGTTGCGCTTAGATTGAGGTATCAAGTAGCCCGAGCCCAACCCAACCCAATCTAAGCCTGCCCAACAGTTTATGATATACAAATCTATAAATCATCAATGTATTCTATCTAGAAATTGGGCTACAAAACTAAGCACGCCCAAACCCAACTCAAGATGTTGGGTTAAGCTTAGGTTGTGGCTGGGTTGGTAAATTTGAGATTAAGCTTGAGTTGACTTTGGTTGACCATCAACCTAATCCCAAGAAGCATTGTGACATTCCTAATTATATTAATTCATGTTATTTTTAAATGCATTAAGGGATTTTAAATTAATAGTAATTAAACTTAAAACTAATTGCCACCACTTCATATTGATGGCCAGTGGCCACATAGCCGACCCTGGCCGGTTACCAAGGGACTGATTCGTTAGAGTGGCGTCCAGTAAGAACGTGGAGAGCCCCAATCCCATGGCTGCCAACCGGATGTACTGCTGCTGCATACAAAAGAATGGAGCTCACTATCCACACAACCAGTGATCCATGGATCCTCTGGATGACATGCATTTGAATTGGAAACTGAGGGGGGTCCTGCCGATAAAAGGGATATATAATTTTGGATAGATTCCACTAAGATGGTTGATAAGCTTCAATAGCAAAGTCTTCGTGCTTGTTGAATCACTTCTTTAATTATTGAAGGGGCTTCTTCTATCATCAGTTCACATAAAGAGCAAAGGTGAAAACAAATTAAACTTCGTACTTTTAACAACAACAATACTAAGACGATTGCCAAATAACGAATCTAAGCCACACAAGCCATGGGATGAGCAGTGAATTTTCAATGCACTTAAATCATTTCCCTACGCATCCGCCAGTATAAGATTTTTCAGTCAGCAAATATTTTGCTTTGCCCTCACATCCAGGATCCAGCAAAAGAAAAGAACACAAACATTCTCAAATCCCAATTAAGATTTGCCTATGCAACTTCAAATGGACACTGAAGAAACTTGCCGGAACTTAGTTTAAAAGTGCATTCAATATGACACACAATTCAGTACCATTCAGTAGATAGCATCCTTGGAGCACAAGTTTGACAAAGGAAGAGAAAAGCACTGGAGTGAACAATGAAAGCTGTAAGGTTTTCCTGGGCCCAAACTTTCATAGGACCGACACGGCATTACAAACTATGTATTGGTATATCCGAGATTCAGTCTATACTATCCATCTTCAACTAGAAGTAGATACCTTCAGGAGGCTGAACCAGCTTCCGGTTGTGGGGGGCTGCCATCTCCTTCTTCAGCTGTGTCAGTATGTCTTCCATAGTGTACTCCCGCTGCCAATTTGCCAGCATCCCAAATTTCTTTGCCTCTACCTGGAATATCAAAATTTGCACGGTATATAGTTCAATCATATTCCTTTTGGTAACACAAGTTCAGATTTTCTTGAAGTCCATCTTTTGCAGAAATATCTGAAGTTGTCACCTCAATATGTAAAAATGTCTAAATATGTCATTTTTCAACTTCAAATTTGTATAACATCATATAAATTGCCCATACGGATTCACAATTCACATCCATGAGTTCTCCATGAACCTGGATCCAAAAATTGCATGCAATAAATGAGGTGAATTCCTTACTCTAGAGTGATAATATCAAATAACAGTATGGTGATCCTGAACTTGGTGCATGATTTTTTGGATCAAGTGATTAACAGTTCTTATCCATTGAAGGGGAATACATGGATCAGTAAGAAGAATTCAGGAACATCAACATGTTAAAATACAAAGCTATGCCTATGCCATTAGTTAGATTAAGCACTACAACCACAACCATTAGATAAATAGATTATTAAAATGTTACCACTCCGGTCTCATGGTTTACACAAGTCATGTTGATCCTTGAATGGAAACGAACACTTGGAGGCTTGTCCGGATAATCTTTGTCACAAAACAGCTTCAACTGATAAATACGACCTTCATGCACAGACTGCAATGCAAATAATGAGATTGTAAGGCAACATTTTAGCCAATAGCTTAAAACTCAGACTCAGGCTTAAACATTCAATTACTTTTGTAAGGCAACATTTTAATCAACAGACAATGTCAAGCAATCAATTGAATCAGTGTACATTAACATTCATTAATTTAGTTTTTAGCATTCTGCTTCATTAAAGAAAAATTCCAGAATGTCCACATTGACTATGGATAATATGAGTGTATGGTACATGTGAAGGATTTGCCATATCCCTGTCTATCCTTCAAGGAGTAAAACTAGAGGGTTCAGCTTCTTGAATCACATGATTAGTTAAATTCCGTGTGCTTCCCTTGCTTCACAAAATAAAGAAGCAATGTCTTACCCTCCAGAGTAATTTAAGTTCTTTGGTCATACCTCTTAAAAATATCATCTACTTACCATTCAGTTGGTACCGAGTTCCATTGGGAAACAGGGGGTACATGGTTCTCAAAGACTATTAACACCTATGGGTGTCATCAACAAAATCAACATCGAAGTCTCTCACCAAACCACTAGTGCATTTGATTCAGAGGCTCCTCTTAAGGACATCATCTACCTACAATTCAGTTCGTGCCTCATCCCATTGGGGAAGAGGGGGTACAGAGTTCTCAAAGATAATTGTTATTCACTTGAGGGTGTCAACAACAAGATCAACATCAAAGCTTCTCACCAAGCCACTAGTGTAAATTGATTCTGAGGCTATTCCCAAAAATTCCATTGAAGCAGAACAAAAATAAGAAGACAGGCAACACATAACAGATGCTTTAAGAATAACTTGTTTGCACAGCAAGAAGGCAAGAAGTTGCAGGGGCAGTAGAATAAAGAATGAGACTAGAAGTTCAGTACATCAAAATTTTAAGATAATTACTGTATGAAAAGCAAAATATATAGAATGACAGAAACTGAATGGCAATATAATTAGTAACATCAATGTGCTAGCCCACTAGGAATATTTGAGGGTTTAGTAACAAGATATTAAAGAAGGGGAGAGGCATACATTGTGTGGACCAATTATAGTACCCGTCCAAGAGCGCATATAAATATCATCTCCATCATCCATTCCATAGCTTACTGTACCATCTCCAATACCCTTTTCTCCACGTTCAAGTTCCTCCAGCAATCTGAAGTTTCGTGGGACTGCACAGCCATATAAGGATCAGAAGTTTTATTATCAGTAATAGAAAACATAGGAGTCAGAAGATGCCTCAATTCCTACAGGCAAATTATATGATATGTCCAATGCTTACTAGAGCATCCACACCAAGTGTACACACACCAGACATCTGTGGTCTGCAGCATAGATACCCTGTGGCAGATGCAACTTGTGCAGGAATTTTGCACCATTGCAGCTATTTTTCACGATGCCCCTTATAATTGGCAATATGAACCTTTCTTTGTGAGGCCAAATACACTCATCAAGAGTGCTCATGTGAGTATGCCAAATTATTATTTGTTTACACTCTAGATTCAAGCAGAAGTAGCTAAGTAGATATGAAAGACACAAAGGCTGAGTTAGGAAGGAGTACAAATGCAAATATGTAGAGTGCAAAACCTTATATTTTGTATGTATTTACGCTGTACATATTTGCATTCGTACTCCTTCCAAACTGAGCCAAAGGGATTATCTTTGGGATGGGGTGGAAGAAGGGGAATCCAGTTTTGGCTAGATGGAATTTAGTGTATTGTCCTAATAAAAGTGGAGGATTTGGGCTTTAGAAGAATTAGATGGTTTAATAAAACAGCATTGAGGAAATGGTTACACGGAATTTTTGGGGTATAGAATGCTGCTCTACAGAAGAAAGTCATCATCGTCGTCATCTAAGCCTTATCCCAACTATATATGCTGTCTACTATATGAATACTGTTCTGCTATTCCATTCTATTGGGTTGCTAAGTTTGGGTGGATTTCTACAAAAGATGATTCTCAATCTAAGACTGCATTTGTTCATAGGGGCATTTTAACAGCAAAAAGGAGATAAGTCCTTACAATAAGGAATGCCAAATGCAGCCTAATCAAAATTAGCGATGACAATGGGGCAGGTTTGAGGAGGGTTCTGTAAATTCTAGACCCTACATGCCTCTCTAGACCTCCCAACCTATACCCTCTTTTTTTTTTTGTCAATAACCGTGAATTGTATTAATATTATGAAAAGTTACTGAGCAAGGGAGCTAAACAATCTTAGCCCCCGAGAACAACCATTGAACACCAAAAAACAATTACAATACAGCCCAAAATATAGTATTTCTGTTCACCTCTTATCTAGCTAGACTCTCTGCCAATGAGTTGGCACTTCTTTTTACCCATTTGTATTGAATTTCCATGTCCTTAGTCAGCCATTTAAATTTCCTCTTTTCATTGCTGTAATTCCAAAGTCTAGAGTTATCCTCTTTTAGCCAGTTTACCACCACTTCAGAATCTCCTTCTATGATCAGCTTGTTAATTTGCATATCCTTGATCCTTTGTACCCTTCAAGAGCTGCAAGTATCTCAGCCCTCAAGGAATCTCCCACCCCGATTGGTCCAGAAAACATTACTAACATATTCCCCTATTCATCTCTTATTACTCCCCATATTCTAGATGGCCCTCGATTACCCATGCTGCTGCCATCAAAATTCAGCTTAGTAAAGCCATGAGGTGGAGGGAGCCAACAAGAGTTTGGGGCCTTCTTTATTGGAGCAAATTCTGCTATCTCCTTCCATTTTCTTTGCAACTCATTAACTGAGAATTCTGCAAACAAAGCCAAGGTTTTCAGCCAGTGTAAAACCTTAATATGGATGACCTCCAATATTACTTCCAGACTTCTCTCCTTATCTGAGAAGATCCGTGAATTTCTCTCCTCCCAAATAGTCCAACAAACTGCTGCCCTCATACACCTCCACATAATCTTGGCCCTTTTTGTTGGCCAATTCGGCATAGAATTGAATAAGCTTTGCACATTCGAAGGGGGGTTCCACCTGCACCCAAACAGAGAAGTGCACCATTCCCAAATGACTTTAGTAAACCAACAAGAAATTAGTAAGTAGTATCCAAACTCACCATCAGCTTTACAGAGAACACACCAGTGAGGACAGAAACAACTATTATTAGGTTTTTTTCTTTGAAGTAAATCTGTTGTGTTAACTCTTTCCAGAAAGGCTTCCCAACAGAAACTCCTAACCTTAGGAGGTATAGGTTAACACCACACCTCTTTAACAGGGAATGACAAGCCAGAGGAGGAAGGTTGTGTTAGAGCTTTAAAAAAAGAGGCACAAGTGAAAGAACCCGAGGGAGTGAGTGTCCAAATTCTACTGTCTGCCTTTGTTGGCCCTAGGAAAACCCCTTCAAGAATGGATAACAAGAATAAAATACAATTAAGCTTTGTGTCTCTGATATCTCTTCGCAAGCCCAAGTTCCAGACCCCATAAGCAAAATTAGAAGGAACAAGGAATGAGGAAACCGACTCATTTTTAAAAGTGGAAAGAGCAAAAAGGTTTGGGAATTGGTCTTTTAAAGGAGAATCCCCAATCCAAACATGTTCCCAAAAATTAAATAAATTGCCTGAGTGCAAGTCATACCTAATCCATGGAGAGAACAAAGGCAGAATAGCTTGAATAGCTTTCTGGGGAGATGCTCTTGTAGTCCTTGCCAGAATCCCAACCATTGTCTGCAACCCCATGAATACTACCCACTATCTTCACCCAAAGTTTGTCCTTCTCCATTGAGAATCTCCATAACCATTTCCCTAGTAATGCCAAGTTCCTATTCCTTATGTTCCCAATTCCCAAACTCCCAACCTATACCCTCCCCACACATGAAAATGCAAAACCCTATCCGACCCTACCCTCCCTGCATTTGAGGATGGGGCAAGCAGGGTAGGTGGGTTGGGTCCAGAACCCGTATCTAATTTCCTATTATTTCCAGTTATATAAGCAATAAACAAGTTACATGAACAAACATCAAAATTTCCAATTATTTGACTAAGCATGTAATAAACATGTAAACTATCAATTATCCTTCACATATAATTCAAAATATTGTAAAATTCAACACCTAATACATAATTTCAAATGTCTTTCAACAATATGTGGATGGGGAAGGGTTGGGTTTAGCCTAATACCATACCCTACCCGTACCCGTATTATCAAACCCAAGCCCAGCCTGCATGCACTAAAATTTGATGCATTCGGGTTGGGCTTGGTCCTAGGCTGGACTCAGGTTGGTCAATCAGCCCACACTAAAAACCAACATGCATACAAGTATGTCTCTATATATGCATATATACTTGGGCTTGGGTTGGGATAAGGTCAAGTCGGATTCAGGTTACCTAAGGGATAGACCGGAGCCCAGCACAAGAAATTAAAAAAACTACAATTTTTTAGCCCAGGCCCAGCCTGAGGACCAAAAATCCAGGCCCAACCCATGTACAATTGCAAGCTAGGTCAATTCAGGTTTGGATTAGGCCTGTCCAAATTGCACCTCTAATCTCTATTGACACATTAGCGAAGCATAAACCTTTAAATCCTTTACAGGTCAGCACCCTATGAATTGTTCTCACCATAATATGATAATATTTTAATGAATGTTCTTCACCTTGACTTTTAATATCAAGTACTCTTGTATTTTGTTCACCCAAAATATTCTTGCATTTCACTTTCCACATCTCCCAGCCCTCTCCTAAAACCAAAATCCCATGATAACCCTTAAGGAAAGAAGGTCATAAGGTCACCATCAATTTTTGTTTTTTTTAATGGAAGGACAAAGTATAAAGTCTAGGAAAAGTAGGTAGATTGGTCTATCATCCAACTAGGTTGTCTTCTCAAAATTTTACATTAAACCAATTACAGGATCAAGTCTAATAAGTTCAACGATTCAGTTCAGATTGCATGTACAGATTTCCAAGGGGATCTATGTATAGCTCTACACATTGGTTGTCTTCCCTTTTGATTATAGAATGCACAAAAGAAAAAAAGACGCTTAGAAGGAAATCTCCAAAGACATTTAAAAGTTTTGTATTTCTCTCAGTTTTTTTATCAATAACTGAACCAATTCATTAATGATTAAAAGGAAAGAAGATACAACAGGAAACAAGATAAAGGGCAGGATAAGCTCTCTTATCCCAAGCGACCAAAAACCAACTTACAACAAAGCCCAAAACAAGGTACCACTTCCCACCCCTTGTTTAGTAAGTAGATCAGCAAAGGAATTGGCACTTCATTTTACCCATCGAAGCCTCACTTCCATATTCTCTGTCGGTCAATGTTTTAAAAACCAACCCGGAGGTTGAACCATTTTTGCCTCCGGGTTGCAGATCACCAGTTCGACTATCTGAGTGTCTGGGTCAAATGGGTCAGACCATACCACATCAGCAATATGTAAATACATACATCTATGTCGCAGGTTACCAGTTCTACATGTAATATATGTATTATTTTATATTTAATTTATGCTTATTAATTCAGTTTTTATTTTTTTTTATTTGTAAAAAATATTAAAAACTGTGATTTGAGGCCAAAAAAGGGTTTTTTTGGCGAAAATAGCAGGGCAAGGCACCCACGGCTCCTTGGGATGCACAAATCTTGAAAAGTTGCCCTAAGTCAAAAAAGAAAAAAGGTCACCCCAATTGGACATCAGAGCACAAAATTATGGCTTCCCGAAGTTTGCATACACATTTAGAGTACAACCCATGACCCGACCACTAGGTCGAAGTGTTGAACAGATCAATGGTCCAACCATACAAGTTGGACAATTTTTTACCAAGTCAACAGTTTTGACCATTATCTAGGTTTTACTAAAACCGGAACAAGAATCTTGGCTAGTGATAGTTTGAACAGTTCAATCAACAGGATCAATGGCGGGTTGAAAGCACTAGTGTCATCCATCTAAGTTTTCTTTTTACGTTAATATAACTCTAGAAACCATTTCCTCTTGTTGCAGCCAATTATCACCAGCTTGGAATCACTCTCAACTACTAGCTTCCCAATATTTAGCTCCTTTGTCCTTTGTACTCCTTCCAAAACAGCCATAATCTCTGCTTTGAGTGAATCACCTATACCTATTGGCCATAAGAAAAAGCAACAACTTTTCCTTCTTCATTTCTGAATGCACCTCCAATACCTGAAGGACCAGGATTATCCTCACTACTTCCATCAAAATTCAG